TTGTGTCCTGGTTATGCCCAGCATATTTCAATGAGCTTCATTTCAGTTTTTCCCATGACTATTTTTTCTAGAACATTCACATGTGTTCTTGATTTTCTTAGACTTTCTAAATCATTCCCTGGGGTGTCTCAAACTTAATTCTAAATGCATGATCTTGGGCAGGAAAAGGGAATTCTATTACCGTTACTTACTCAACTGTTGCCTGATCAAAGATATCCTAAGGAATTCTTTTTAGGTTTGAGTTACATGATTAATGTTTCCTTGTATTTTTTTACAGTGTGTGAGTACTTCTTGAAAGCCCAGATAATTATTTCAAGTTCTAGGTTAAAGAATAGAAAATAAGATGATCATAAACCCCTGAGTGAGCATTAAATCCATTTTCCTAGGAATGCACTATATTTTGTTGGAGGACTATCTTTGAAACACTATGGCCAATTATAAATTAATTTCTTTTATAATTTAAATAAATTTTTTACAGCAAATTATCGGAACTGTAATCAGTCTCAAGAAAAGCTGAAAGAAGACATGACTGTGTAAGTCCAAATGAAGTGATAATATCACATTTACTGCATGCTGCTTTATTCCATACTTATAAGAAAGAAAACAACTGAGAAGTTTGTCTGATCATTAATATTACATATAAGTGATTAAAGCAAACATCCTCTTCTTTCATTAGGTATGTAAAATATAATTAGTTCGTAAGTTTTTCTTCTGTTTGAAGGTTGTATATAGGTCATTTGCTTTGAGATGTATTTGGCAAAGTCGTCATCAACAGAAAAGTGTGAGGATTTGCATTTTTGTATTAATTTTGCCTCGTAGAACTGAAGGTACATATCCTACAGGATAGAGAAAAATTGTTTTTTCTTTTTTAAAAAAATTGTATGCCTTTCAAGCCCTATAAAAATACTATTTCTATAAGTGTTAAAAATCAAAAAGATGTGTGCCACAAAATAAATAGTAAAAATAATAAAATATTTTAAAATAAAAATAGTAAGATTTTAATCAGACTAATATTGGGGACTAATTCTTCAGACTATTATGGTAAAGTCGTATCCAGACTAAAAATTGTAAAGTACGAATAATAAGTAACTTATAAGGACATTCCCTTTTTGTAATTTTGTGTATTAAACTGTGTGCTTCATTTACTGTCACATTCTGAGTTTGTTAGAAAAATGCTACTTCACTGAGTATATTCACTGAATTTCCATAATGTCTCACTAAAACTATCAGAGTCTTTACTATGAACCTAAGTGATTCCTATTCTTTCCCCCCAAAAGTGAAGCATCCATGTTATACAACCCCAAGAGACATACATTACATTGCAGCGACATCGTCTGGGCCTTAATTCTTAGCCTGCATATCAAATATGTAAGCGACAGCCACATGTGGGTACATAAATTTGGAATAATTAAAGTTAAATAAAATTAAAAATTCAGTTCCTCATTCTCAGTGAAATGTCAAGTGCTCAGTAGCCACACCTGGCTGACTGCCATAGTGTATAACACAGATATAGAACATTCTCTTCATTATGGAAAGTCCTATTGGATGGTGCTGTTCTGGAATATGGTGTGAATGGTGCCCCTTTGAATTGTGTTTTGCTGCAGCCTCAACTTTCACTGAGGGGAAGTTCTTTTTTTTTTAACGACTTTTACATAAATTTTCTTTATATTGGATCTTTCTCTTTTTTTTTGACTGGTAAGGGGATCACAACCCTCGGCACAGTGTGGTCTGCACCACATTCAGCCAGTGAGTGCACCGGCCATCCCTATATAGGATCCGAACCTGCAGCCTGGGTGCTACCAGCGCTGCACTCTCCTGAGTGAGCCACGGGGCCAGCCCTTTATATTGGATCCTTTGAAAATTCATGATTAAGACCCAGGGTAGTGTCTTGTACTGAATTTTAGTCTTACAGTATTAAAGGAAGGCTCTGATGTACAATCATGAAGAACAAATTTCTTACAAAAAAAGTTTAGAAATTTTTTAAACAGGGGTATCCATTTTGAAAATAGACAATAAAAGGCAAAATAAGATGAAAATATGCCTATGTACAGTTATTAAAAGGCTACTGAATTTAAAAAGAAGCATTCTCACATTTATAATGTAGTAATTGTTGTGCTATTATTTTTAAAATGGTGTTCTGTTTTGGAAATATTTGAAATACGTGATGAAAAATGTTCCATAGTCAAATTGGTTTGGAAAACACTACAAATGACAACCTCCTATCAGATACACACTGGACAGATAAACATAGTTAACTTTGTTTTATCCCAGTTTTCCAAACCTATTTGACTTTGGAACCTATTTTTTTCCCCTAACACCTACTAGCATCCTGTGGTGCTAATATTTTGATGAACACATTATTGTGAGGCGTTGCTTTATGTAACTTTTTCGTTGAGTATAAGGTAATACCTTCGTCTATAATCATCAGGAACTGAAGAATTTTATTCTACCTAAATTATTTTCCAAAGAAAATGACCCATAGCTTTAGATAATCTTAATGTTTGAATGTTAAGTCCATGCATTTATCTTATCAGAAAATTGTTTTGAAAATAATTGAATTTTTTCTTGTTAACTCCGGATCAGAATGACTAAGTAGTCCTAAAATCACTTCTAGCCAATATGATGCCTCCTTTTATTGCTGTCGAGAGTTCATTAATTCTATATGAACTTTAAGCATCTTGTTTTCTCCCTTTTGCTATTTCTGATGTATCTACTATCACGTACTTGAAAATGAAGGGGCAAACTAGATGGTCAAGTCTGGTAGGTTAAGTTCAACTGCATTTAATGTAAGACAATTGTGATAAGTGTCATAATTTTTTTTGGCAGCTGGTTGGTACAGGGATCGAACCCTTGACTTTGGTGAGCAAACCAGCACAGCCCAATGATAAAATTTTATTTCTCTCACACATAAAAATCTGAAAGTAGGCAGTCTGAGGATAGAATACGGCTCGACAGTCATCAGGGACTTGGGATCCTTCTGTCTTTCCACTCCACCATCCTTATACTGGCTTCTATCATCATTATCACTTCCTGGTCCAAACTGACTGCCAGAGCTTCAGTCATTAGGTGCAAAGAGAAAGAAAAGCAATGTAAAAAAAAAAAAGGTGCATTTCTAGCCGAGTCAGCTTTCTTAATCAGCCTGGCAGAAATTCTGCACAATTCCACTTTTAAAAATGGCCTTATATTAGGCATTTGGCTGTTCCAAATAAAATGAGGGTTCTGTTATTAAAGAAGATACGATCAGATATTGAGTGATAGATTAGATAGATAGCATTTAAAAAGCTGGTGGAGATTCTCATGGTCAATTGGTTAGAGACATCCTGGTTAAACAACATTAAATTATTTCTGTGCTTTTGGATTTTTTAATATGTTCATGTGTATTGTCAATCTCTGGGGGTGAGTAGAAAGGCAGTGTTTCCCAAAGCTGTCAGAGTACCCTTTTTCCTCAGAAGTACTGCCAGAGTGATTCAAATCATTGGCTTAGGAATCAGATCATAGGTTCAGGATTTAATCGTGGGCTCTGCCACTTTCTAGCTATAGAGGCTGTTGACTAACTTCTGTAAGCTTCAGTTTCCTCATTTGTGAAATGTGATCTACTTTATCTTATCTTTTAATTGACCCATAATTGTATATATTTATGGGGCACAGAGTAATGCACTGTGTAAAGATCAAATCAGGCTAATTGGCATATCTAACACTGTAAACATTTATCATTTTTTGCAGTGAGAACATTTGAGCTCCTTTCTTCTAGCCATTTGAAAATATACAATGAATTATTAATTGTAGACACCTAGCACCGCAATAGAATACTAGAACTTATTCTTCCTATCTAGCTATAATTCTGTATCTGTTAACCAACCTCTCCTTATCCCCCCTCCCTGCTACCCTTCCCATTCTCTAGTAACCTCAACTCTACACTCTACTTCTATGAGCTCACTTTTTTGAGCTCCCACATACAAGTGAGAACATGAGGTATTTATCTTTCTGTGCCTGACTTATTTCACTTAACGTAGTGTCTTCCAGGCTTATCCTTGTTGCTGCAAATGACATGATTTCATTCATTTTATGGCTGAGTAGTATTCAATTATGTATATATACCACATTTTCTTTTATCTGTTCATCTGTTGATGGAAAGTTAGGTTGATTCCATATCTTGACTATTGTAAATAGTGCTGCAATAAACATAGGGGGTGAAAATGTGATCTTAATACTTTCTAGAGATTCAGTGATACTCAGATAAGTAAAGGGCCTGCTATAATCTGTAACATACAATAAGTACTTAATAAATGAAATCGTTAAATCAATCTTAATTTACACGAACGTTTGAATCAGAAGGCTTTGTTTCCTGGTATAAAAAAATTGCTTGGACTCTGGGACTAACTACTATTATCTCTTTTTCTGGGTCCCAGGTAATGTGCAAGTCCAATTACTGGATAAGTGAGGAGTTTCCATCTGGAAAAGTTAGTTTTGTTGTTTGTTTGTTTGTTTGTTTGTTTGTTTTTAAGGAAAAGTCTTTTCTAAAATGAGTAAGTGCTTTATAAAAATGATCTTAAATAACTTTCTCTGATTAATAATTTTTTCATTATTGGAAATGTGAAAAGATAAAAATGCACAAAGAAAAAATTAAGTTACTTATAATCACACCACTAATGGAAAATAAATGTTAATTTTAATTTATATTATTGTTGGTTTTTTTACATGTATAGTTTGTAACATACATAGTTTTCATGTGATTGGGATTATGCTGTTCATATGATTTTGAATAATCTTATTGAGGCATCATTTCCTTATCATAAAACTCACCAACTTTAAGTGTACAACTTATGATTTTTAATAAATCTGCAGAGTTGTGCAGTCATCACCACAATCCATTTTTAGAAGACTTCCATCACTCTACAATTATCTCTCTTTTGTTGTCAATCCCCATTTTCACCCCCAGTCCTAGTCAACTACTTATCTGCTTTCTATCTGTGAAGATTTGCATTTTATGGACATTGCATACGCATGGAAACATATGTAGAATTTTTGCACCTGGCTTCTTTTATTTAGTAGAATGGTTTTGAGATTCATCCATGCTGTAACATATATCAGTAGTTTATTCCTTTTATTGCTTAATAGTAATTTATTGCAAGGATATATCACATTTTTTTATCTGTTCACCAGCTGATGGATATTGGGATTGTTTCTCTTTTTTATCTATTAAAATAATGCTTTTATGAGCATTGATGTACAAGTCTTTGTGTGGATGTATGTTTTTGTTTTTCATAGGTAGATACCTAGGTGTAGAATTGTTGCATAATATGGTAAGTTTATGTGTATCTCTTTAAGAAACTCCAAAAGTGTTTTTCCACAGTGGTAACACCATATTACTTTCCCACCAGCAATGTATGAGGGTTTCAGTTTTTCCACATCCTCAACAACACATGTCATTGTCTGCTTTTTTGATTACAGCCATTGTAGTAGGAGTGAAGTAGTATCATATTGTGATTTTAATTTGCATTTCTCTGGTGACTAATAATGAACAGTTTTGCATGTTGCAATGTATGAGGGTTTCAGTTTTTCCACATCCTCAACAACACATGTCATTGTCTGCTTTTTGATTACAGCCATTGTAGTAGGTGTGAAGTAGTATCATATTGTGATTTTAATTTGCATTTCTCTGGTGACTAATAATGAACAGTTTTGCATGTGTCTTTTAGTCATTTATATATTTTCTTTGGCAAAATGTCTGATCACATATTTTCCTTATTTTTTAAATTATGCCATTTGTTTTCTTATTATCGAGTTGTAAGAGTTCTTTATAGATTGTGGATACTAGTTCTTTGTCAGACACATGATTGGCAAATATTTTCTCCCAGTATCTAGCTAGTCTTCATTTTCTTAAAGGTTTCTTTTGAAGCAGAAAAGTTTTAAATTTTGATGAAGTCTAATCTATAAAGTTTTTCTTTTATGGATTGTGCTTTTGGATTTAAGAATTCTTTGTCTAACCGAGGGTCATGAAAATTTTCTCCTACATTTTCTTCTTGAAGTTTCAATATTTTATCTCTTACACTTTGGTCCATGTTCCATTTTGAGTTAATTTTTGTAATGGTGTGAGGTAAGGATCTAACTTCATCTTTTTTGCATGTGGCTATCCAGTTTTCTCAGCACCATTTTCTGAAAAAACTATTTTTTCTCCACTGAATTGCCTTGGGACCTTTGCTAAAAATCAGCTGTTCATAAATGGAAAGGTTAGTTTCTGTTTTTCAATTCTATTGCATTTATTGATATGTCTGCCCATATGTCAGCCAGTACCTCAGTCTTGACTACTGTAGTTTCATAGTTTAAATAAATTAATTAAATGATTAAATGTAAGTTCTTTTACACTTTGTACTTCTTTTTCCAACTTTTACTTTTTAAAAATTATTTGGCTACTCTGAGTTCTTTGCATTTTGATATAAATATTAGGATCACTTTGCTGATTTCTGCAAAAAGAGCCTGCTGGGACTTTTGAGGGGGATTGCATTGAACCTATAGATCAATTTGGGGAGAATTGTCATCTTAACAACAATGAGCCTCCCAATCCATGAACATGGATTGTCTCTCCACTTAATTAGATCTTTAATTTCTACCCACTAAGGTTTGTAGTTTTCATTGTACAAGTTTTGCATTCCTTTTTTTCATCTGATTTTATAATCCATTTCCCCCTTACAATATTGCAAAATTTTTCCCACAACATTAAAAAACCTTAGCAGGATGATGTTTATTAAACCTGTAATGTTTTAACGTGTCCTTAAACAGTCCTTCTTGTTACAATTCTTGTTACTTGTGATAGTTACGTTGTGTTAAAGTCACCGTGAATGCTGAATTAGCAATACTGAACCATTGCTCTTAGGAGAAATACAGGGTTAGGTTTCTGTGAGCCTCTGGTCACAAACTTCATCATCCAATCAATATATAACCTCAATTTATGTGTGCTTCTATTTAAAGACACTTCATTTAATATATATTGTTGATACACTAACATTGAACTTACGGTCAGCAACACTATAATTCATGCATTAATGAAGTTTATCTAATACACGTATTTCCTCCATAGGGCACATCATTCCCTTCTTGCATTTAAGAACACTAGCCAGCTCTTCAGCATGATGCATGGTAGTGGTTATAAACAGGAAAATCATAAACATAAAACACAAAAATTAGAAAAACTTGGCACTAAATAGATCATGAAAATGACACTTGTTTAACATACTGTATAAGAGCTGAAACAAGAAAGCAGAGTATTGCCTTGTTGGACCTCAGCTGGGAACATGTGCATCAGGCAAATCAATTTTTTTGCCACTCTGCACATGTCCATGAATAACCATAAAAGTTTCATGAATATTGATTTTGGACTTAGAAATAAATTTTAGCAAGTAGGTGAATTTGCAAATACAGAATCCTAAAATAAGTACAAGTTATGTTTTCTTCTCATGTTTTGCTTGGTACTTCACTCTCCTGGCTTTCCAACTACCTCACTGGCCGCTCCTCAGCTTTCTTTGCAGGCTCTTACTCTTCATCCTGAACTCTGCATGTTTGCAGAGTCCCTGAGCTCAGCCCCTGGCCCTCTTCTTTTCTTTACCTATACTTCATTCTCCCTCTCCCTGGGTGGGCTCAGCCAGTCCCTTTGTTTTAATTACCACCCATAAGCTATTGCTTTGAAATCTATGTCTCCAGGGTAGACCTTTTTCCAGTGATTCAGACTTTCATTTTCAACTTCTTACTTGATCTTTACTTTGAGTTTTAATGGGCATCTCACACTTAGCATGTCTAAATCAGAGCTCGTGCTGTCTCCTGCAAATCTGTTCTTCTCCCAGTCTCCCACATCTGTAAATGGCACCCTAGTCACCCAGTAGCTGAACTCAACACCCAAGGAGTTATCCTTGATTTCTCCCCTTCCTTCATTCTTCATATCCAGTACACTAGCAATTTTTTTAGGAAGAGTGTTAAACAAAGGTTTTTTTGTTTGTTTTTTTTTCCTTTTTGTCTTTTTTTTTTTTTACTGACCGGTAATGGGATCGCAACCCTCAGTGTCGTGCCCGTACTGGGGACTGGCAACGGGATCGCAACCTTCGGTGTTGCGCCTGCACCGCGCTCAGCCAGTGAGTGGGAACCGGTCTCCACATGGGATCTGAACCCTCGGTGGGAGCGCCACCGCGCTCCCAAGTGGCACACTCTCCAGTGCGTCACCAGGCCGGCCCAAGGTTTGTTTTATTAATAAAAAAACACACAAACTATAAAGCATAAGAAATCTTATTATCTATTTCATATCAAGTAACTGGTGGCAAGTTAACATTCAGGGTCAACAGACCACCAGGCCGGCCCAAGGTTTGTTTTATTAATAAAAAAACACACAAACTATAAAGCATAAAAAATCTTATTATCTATTTCATATCAAGTAACTGGTGGCAAGTTAACATTCAGGGTCAACAGAATGGTTGGAAGAGACTGGAACAGATTAGACTCTCTTGGAGGAGGGTGCATGTTCACAGGCAAAGGGGAAGGGAGCAGCTGTACCAAGTTCTCTGTCCTCATGGAAGATCTTGAGAGGAACTCCATTCAAGGAGAGGTACGCACTGTGGTGGGCTTCAGGCAGGTCGAAACTCTCAAAATCTAAAGAATCGAATGAAAAGAATTTTTTTAAATTTCTGTATAGGTGTCATCAGAGGCAGGGACAGAGCTTTTTGCTTTAATAGTATTCTCAGTCATCTTTTTGGCAGAGAAGCTTGGCTGTTTCTGTCGGAGGGGTTCATCAGTCTGGCAGTTTCTTTGCCCATTGGCTGCCACCAATGTTATCCAAGCCCCATCCTTCTCATCTTGGCCATTGCAATAGCTTCCTAACTGGTCTTGCTGCTTCCATCGCTGTCACTTCCATCCGTTTTCCAAAGAGGAGCTGGAGTGATCATTTAAAGAGTTGGACAGATAAGGTCACCATCCCATGCTTAAATCTTCCAGTGGTTTTCTGTTTCTCTTGGAATAAGATCTGAACAATGAACTGTAGCTAAAAGTGGCATGATACGCCAAATTCTTCAGCATCGTCATTTCGTACCACTTTGGATTTATTTTGTTTCTGGAACATGCTAAGCTTTTTTTTCTGCCTCAGTTTGGTCTGGGAGGGACCTCTTCTCTCTCCCTGAAGTGTTTTTTCTGCTCTTCTTATGGCTGGCTCCATTTCACCTTTTGGATCCCAGCTATAATATAACTTTTTCAAAGAAACTTCTTAACCACTCTATTTATCTGCACTGGCTCTCCCAACCCACATTTACCCACCAATTATTCCGTGACCTATCACCCATTTTACTACCTTCATATACCAACCTGAAATTCCTTCTCTTTGTGGATTATCTGTCCCCTCCCACCAGAATGGGAGGACTTATTATCTTGTTCATGGCTGTATCTCTGGAACCCCACACAGAGAGGACACCCAGTATACATTTATTAAATGACTACATTTCTTACCTGGTCTCCTACTGTCAGATATTTAGATTGTTTTCAGCTTTTCTGTATTGTTACAAATGCTGCAATGATCATCCATATAGATGACTATTTGTACATAATACCTTTGAGTAAATTCCTTAAGTTGAATTTTATATTTAATGGTAAGCATATTTTTAGAACTTTTTATCAAATGCTTTTGACTACTACCATTTTCTTTACCCTCCTGTTCCATCTACTGCTATCTTATTTACCTCAATGTAACTTTTTCATATGAAAGTAGCAAAGATACTGAAAAAAGATATAAATAGCAGAAATTAAGGTATTAATTTCTGTTAATAAAATAAGAAATACATGCTCTAGATGTTTTACTAGGGAAACGTAGAGTATTACATTCAATGTACTTCACTCTTTCTCATGGTGGGTTATTGTTTGTTATTTTTAGGTAAAAAGGGGGAAAATTCATGCTTCTGTCTAACATTCCAATAATCTTTCTTCAGGTTGACTGGTATTATGTTGGAATAGGAGTTACTGCCTTGATTTTTGGCTACATACAGATTTCCTTTTGGGTCATGACTGCAGCAGGACAGACCAAGAGAATTCGAAAGCAGGTTTTTCATTCAGTTTTGGTGCAGGACATCAGCTGGTTTAATGGCTGTGACATCAGTGAATTTAACACTCGCATAACTGAGTAAGAGGATGAACTTGTAGTACATCCACTCTGTTTCCATATATTACATATAGATGACTTAACTACATTTATTTACTTGTTTCAGTGACATCAACAAAATCAGCGATGGTATTGGAAACAAGATTGCTCTGTTATTTCAAAACATGCCTACTTTTTCTATTGGACTGGTGATTGGTTTGGTGAAGGGCTGGAAACTCACCCTAGTGACTTTGTCCACATCTCCTCTTATAATGGCTTCAGTGGCAGGGTGTTCTAGGGTAGGCCAGATGGCCAACACAGTGTTGACTGGAGACAGAGTGTGAACTAGATACCAGAGAAGTATTTCCATTCATTTTCCATGTCCCAAAATACAAAGGGATATTATACACCACAAAGACTTGTGATGTTGTCCACCTTTAATCACCTTTCCGTCTTCTAATTATTTGGCTAAAATGAGATTTGTTTTTAGTATCTTATTAACATTACAAAACATTTCAATTAGTAGCTTAATGTAGCTTCAAATGATAGCGTGGATAAAGTATAATGCCATTATACTTGGGATGTTTAGTGTTGCAGCTGGGAGAGCCTTGTGTATTCTAAATTCCTAGATAAATATGTTAAAATTTGTTTCCCTGGATAGAACAGAATGGGAAAATCCTATAACAAT